CAGGCGTGGGAGACAATATATATATATATATATATATATATATATATTTGTTTGTCCAGTATGGCATGAGATGAGAGCTATGCAATGAAGTTACTAGCATTGATGCAAGACCGACAGTGACTGTGTGACAGACAAACCTGCCAGGGTCACTACTCACTAGTTTGTCTCATCCCTCAGTCCCCATTTTGTGAAACGTAGTTACCAACCCCACTCGGCTGACCAGTAAGGACCTCCATGCTTCGCTCCGAGTCAACAAATAAATTATGCAAAACAATTTCCACCGGCATAGTTCATTTAACTTTCTCAGCGCAGGAAATTCCTCACTGGTTTCGCCATCCGTAAGGTTTATCGCATTGGCGGAACCCCCAAGTTTCCGTTAACCCCATGTCCTAATTGAACCTGACTCCCACGGAATTTGCAAAAATACACTTATGTGCACACCCATTTGATTTCAACGAATATCGTACCAACTGTAACATGAAATGCTTTTTGTGTATTACACCCAATTGAACGACATCATACAGAGATTCTGCTGGGATCCAGATGAGTCTTCCGTGAGTTACAAAACTAATATATCACGAAGCGCATTGTCAAATGATTAAAGTTTGCTTATCGCCAAACGAATGAAACCCATCCAGAAAGACTCTTAGCACACCAGTAGTGGTTGAGTAGTTGCTTCATAAGCTATTTTTAGCCTAAAAACACTTGAGTCCTTGCGTGTGTTTCACGGACCCGTTATCTTCAGGTGAAACACGGGAAATTATATTTTCAATGATGAATTCAGTCATAGCAAAACTTTGATGACTAGGTTTTGTTTCCCGTCCTTCAGCCCTCACTTCGTGCCGAAGCAGTTTGAAAGTACTTGCGGATTCACTTAACAAGGCATACTGCCGAAAACGGTGAATCGGAACAGTAGCAATAAACACACACGTTCATCCAGTCAAAAAAGATATGTTCATCCTGTAGCCAACCTAACAGTCTGACTGGAATATTCGGGTGGGAAACATCACTTTCTACTTGCTTCATTTGATTGCCTGTGGCCCTCGCTCAGTGCGGAAGTAACATGTCTTTGCAATGAGTCGGTGCAATAATGAACACAGACTAAGATGCAGAGGCACCACAACAGAAGCACAGAACACGATAGCTTGATCGCGTTACTGTTTTATTTTCCTGTATACTCGATGTCAGGATCCTGCAATATGTCTAAGAACGGTCATTTATTGAGGTGGAGGACAGCACAACCAATAGTAACACCAGAGGACTGATTCACATCAGAAACCAGGATCAAACGTGGATCTGTCGGCGAGATATAAACGACAGTCACTGCTTGTGGTCAGAGTGGCGGCAGTGGACCTTTACATCCAGCGGCATTCGTTCTTCTCTACAGCGCTTTTCTGTGACTGTCTACAAAGAAAGCAGTTGGGATCATGATTATTAGTGTTTTAATTTAGTACGGAACCTTTTGAATCATGCTACGTTCCAGATTAGTGCTGACCTCTCACCCTCAGCTGGTAGTGAAATGTTGGTGCATTCAACTGGAGATATTTATCTTGGTAGGATTGTCGGTAGGCCGTTTAGGGACTATCAAAATCAGTAGCTGGCTTTAGCCGGTTGTAATGCACCGTAAGGAGGGTACTGGGGTGACTATTCGAGGCGGACGATAACGAGTGGAATTCTCCAGGTTTCAAGGGTGAAACTTGGCGTTGCAGCCACACATAGTCGCCCTCAGTACAAGTGGAGCCGCCGACCCGTCTACCATAGAACTGTTCCTAATGCCACTGAGCTGTGCTCTGATGGACCCTGGAGGATATAAATGCTTCCCGAAGGCGTTCGCCGAGTTCGCTTGCGTGCTGAAGACTGTTGATGGATGTAGATGTGAGCGTTAGTACTTCTATCGGAAGGTACATCTCACGTCCAGACGTTAGAAACGCAGTACTGAATCCGGTCGTGGCGCTGGTAGTCAACCTGTATACCTCCATAGATTGATGCAGGATCATCCCAGTTGTCTGCATGTTAGCGGTCAAGGAAAAAGCGCAAAATATCGACTGAAGTACAATTGGTTCCTTCGACTAGTCTTTTAATTTCCGGTGGTATGGCATGGTTTTTGTTTGTTTGTTCAAAAAAGGCGACAAACTCCGGCAAGCGGATTGTCCTCAAATGGTGAGCGCTTTTATGAGCGTAACATTACTATAAATTCAAAGCGCGGTGCCCACTGGTTGACAATGGGGGACGCAATGGTTGTGGTATCTTGGTTTGCCGCTGGTAGTGCTTCATACCATTTCGTAGCCGACTATAACTGGGGCGTACCTAGTGCTTCTCCCAGTGATATGGAGTGAGCCAATGAAATCAATTCTAAGGCAATGATTTGAGCCGCAGTGATGAATCGTTGCATAGGGTCTCATGGCGTAGTAGTTGATGGTCCCGTTGAGGCACACTTCACGGTTCGAACAGAACTCACAAAGCCTTTGTGCAGCCACGGCCACCAAAATCTTGGACGGATTGCCTTCGGTATGCCAGCAACACCGGATTTTCTGTAGACTTCTAGAGTGACCTTTTGCGTCTTACTCCATGGGACCACTAAATGCAGGTTTGAGTTGGCTTATCCGCTGTATGAAGTGTACGACTTATGAGACGAATCTTGGTGCACTGATTCCACGAACAACGTTCTTTGGGGTTCTTGAAGCCATCCTTTTGTGTATCTTTTTTCTCTACTTATCACCTGTAGACATCTCGTACGTAGGGCTCGATAATATGAGGCCATTTCCACGTTTCGTCTCCGTTCTTTACGGGGGAATATAGCTTCGACTTTGGAAACGCACGAAAGGGTATTGGCGTTTTCATTCATATTTCCGGGGTGCTATGTTCATTCGACCGCACAATCTTTCATGAATTAGGGCCAGCACGTCACTTTGCCTTTTTTCCTTGAAGCTACAGCGCCACCGAATGGACTAATAGTCTTTTTGGACAATGAAGACAGCTAGAAGATGTGGCCTAAAGAAGCAAAGGAAAAAAATGAAGGCCAACATCTCCCGGCGAATGAGAAATATCGTCTTTCTCCGTTTACCGCTAGCCTAGCATATAACAACCTCCAAACTACTTCATCTTTGGGATCGTACGGCTCAAGTGATCATGAATCTGGTGTCTGTATCGAGTACGAATGAGATGGACGATGAGGTCGGGTACAAAAAAGCAAGAAATGGAGTGACATTAATTTGTTTTTCAAAGTTTGAAAACATTCACAGCATCCTTGAGTTCACAGAAACTTCCTATCCTTATCTGCCAGTCTGTGGAGAGGTGATGCTATCTCTGCTAGATGGGTAGGAACCTGCGGTAGTATAAGGCGAACCCCAAAAAAACTGTATCTCTTTCACCGATTGCGGTTCTGGTCAGTTAGCTGTCTGGAACACTTTCGACTCATCTGCTTTTCATTGCATTCCTTGTCATTGTATGTCTCATGCATCAAAGTGTGTTTGGACGTTTTCGAACCTCTTAAATGCCTCAGCTTGTGCTCACTGACTGAGGGTGTGTGTGCGATTGTCATCAATGTAGATCAAACAATATTTTGGTAGAATGAGCAAAAGACCGATTAAATCAGCTGTTGGAAGATACCTGGAGTATATGCGAGTTTGAAGGCATGGAGCCCTGTTGTCACAACGAAGGCTGTCTTGGCAGGATGAGTTGGTCGCGTTTCCACTTGACAACATTCTGAAGTAAGGTTTAGAGTGAGAAACTGTCGTAACCCCTGGAGAGAGTTACTAGTTGCTCCAGGATATGGTCAAGGGAATGAATCCCCTTTTGTTATTGAACTGACTTTAAGATAAGCGACGTACAAAAGGAGGGTACTGTAATGCTCCTTCGCTCATACACCTAGCGAAGCCCAAGTCGATTCTGGCGGCCGAATAACATGCATAACGATAGATCACCGGTGGTAAATTCCTGTTCGAGGTTGTTAGATGTTATTCGGATAGGATCACCCACTACGGAACCAGTACGCAATCGGAGATTGTTGGCTACCAAAACCTCCTGGTGGTTGGTTTTGATGAGCGGACATGACGCATTGGTATCTGTCAGTAATTCTGGTCTCACATTGCCGAAAGTCACCAGCCAAAGGACTGAAAAAAAACAGAAAGGGTAAATTAACAGTGAACGGCGCGCCCAATATTGACTTCCAACCAAGTTCATCAATTCTCTAATGCCGGCCCAATCAGCCGTCAGTCTGACCATGTCAACAGGCATCTCATCAGGTTGGCGGATTCCGGTGGCTTGGCGTCGTAATGGCGATCGGCTGCTGGTTCAGGTGTTTGACTTGAGGCCCTCTGCTGTTTGAATTGCATTATCCAGGGTATATGGTGGCCTTCTCACGAATTTAGATCATGCATCCGGGTTAAATTGCCTTATAACGAAACCAGTTGAGTCCGGAAGGAGGCAGGTCAAGGAACACCTTCATGGCTAGCTTGCACATGGTCACACTTTACTGCATCCTTTTGTAAAACTCCCACAAGAACCCACCATCACGTACAGAGGCGCCAGGCAGCATTCCCAAAGCATTTCATACTAGTTTCATTTCAGCCGATGGTGGTAACTTGCGTGTCAGCAGCTTTGGGATGCCTCATCACTAAGCTACTGTAGCGGACACTTCCATGTCCCCTCAACCAACTTCACTTAATTTGTCCAGTACATGGGTGTTTACTAGATCCCACGACTTACCTGCTACACAAGCACACAAGTCACGTGACAAACGCCGTTCCACCC